TATTGGCAAGATGCCTACGGGAAACTCGTCCAAAATTGATTTTGAACACATTGAGAACGGAGGCTCTTTCTTCGCAGGATTTTGACCGTTTCACTCCGTTCTTTCGCCATTTCCCCACTATATAGCGCCCTACTAGCATTTTAGGCCGAGCACCAAATCATCGTGCCAACTACCTTTAAGGAGTGTCAGAGGGCTAGTTGTAGCCCAGTGCCAGCCCGTTTTCCATCAGTTGCTGTCGCTTGGACGTTTCAGCAATCGATGGAGAACGGGCTGGTGTGGCGCTGAACCCAGCCTCTCCCCCTCCCCTCTCCTACGATACCCCTCCTTGGACACAACAAAACGACTGTACTTCCGCTCAACTCCCAAAGGCTGGCGGAGCCTCAGGGCTTGATAAAGCGAGTGAAAACACGATGAGTAGGTTCATATAACGAAGATATTAGCTCCCGATTTCCTGTGCAGGCAGATCTCGTTTGCCCGGGAAATCCCCTATTTTGCGTCAACCGTCCAGGTGTGCATGGGCGATTGACCAACTATATTATGAATAGCCATGAATTCTACTCCAATCTTGGAAATTTCAGCAAAAAGTGAAGTTTCATATGATGGTCCGCGAAATGTCAGAAACGGCAGCAGCCGACGCTCAACTGAAGGGCGAAGAGGATGAACCTGCCGTGTCAGAAGAAGAGAGCAAACCGCTTTCTGTCTGCATCATGACGAAATCGCAATTACCAGGTGAGAGATGTCCCCCATATTTTCCTTACTTATTAATTTTTCCTCTTATTTTGCGTCGTAAATACATGGATGGGCCCCTGCGCCTAGCACAGCTAACCTAATTCTACTCCAAGTGACATGTGCGGAAATTCTGAATTGAGATGCGGGCCAAGAAATCCATATTGCCGCAGCGCGCAGCAAATACAATCTTGTTTGCTGTGGATACTGGGGTGTGCTTGGCGCGGTGCCAACCCGTTCTCCACCGACTGTCGGAGCGGGCAATTGGTGGGAAACAGGCTGGCGCCGCGCCCAGCCCAGACCATATGACACTGCCCATCCTCCGCACCAATAGAGAGGGCCCCTCTGAGAGGTCCTTTTTTCCTCGGTACTTTGAGGTTCTCTATCCATTTGACAACGCTCTTCAGAACGTTTTCCTTACCGTAACCACTCACGGAGAAAATTCCACGGTTTCTGTCTGATATCCCTCGGACAGGAAGTAGCTATGTTACGTCACAGCCTTCGGCTGGAAGGTGCCAAGATACTGTAGCTGACTGTAATCCGGGAGTCCAACATGTTTGCCAAAGCTCTGATGAAGGGGCTCTGGGAGGGCTGGAACAATCTATGCAGAAAAGAGGGTTGGAACCAAAAGCATAAGACATTTTGTAGCTTTGTAGGGGTTCACAGTGGATCACGATAACACAACTTCTCCCCGATTCCCCCCCCCCTCACCCCTTTCAAGCCGAACTGCTCACTGAAAGGTTATAACTCTACGTGTAAGGGCCACCAGGCTAGTTAATTCAGAGGTCTCCTAAGCTCTCGCATCTACGGGATTGTTTGACTTCAATTGATATGCCTCGTGTGGTTGTTTTTTGCGTTCTTGTTGATTGTCCAATTACAAGCGCCACAAATTAAATAAATAATTAATAAAGCTCACTAATTAGCATACGATGCGAGACAAGCTAGCAGGATCCCATTGATGTGTCTTTTTCAGAGACTCAGGAAAAGGAGTCGGATGAGAAGAGACGCGCCTGTTCGGTGAAATCGGTTGACTCACAAGCTCCATCGTTGAAAAGCGTCAGAAACGGTATTGCCAGCAAAATTGCCAAGAGAACCATCAAACACGAGCAGAGTCTGAAACGAAAGGTAAATAAATAGAGTTAAATTGTAGGCTGAGTGGGAGGAGGGCTGAACGGAATAAGTAAGAAAGGACTGGAAAACTTCTAGTCTTCCTGAAACCTGCTTGGGCAGTTACGGAGCACCTTAGAGATTATATTTGCAGGTGTCCAAATCACAACGAAAGGAGAAACGTGCTACCAAAACCCTTGGCGTTGTCGTTGGCGTATTTCTGATTTGTTGGGTCCCGTTCTTCTTCATCAACATCGTCAATGCGATATGTGTCCTGATGAAAAAAGAATTCTGCCAGGTGGGTTTTTTTAAGTTGCGAGTCGAGCCCATGGAATAGTTCAACCTAATTATTTCCAAATTGAAGAAATTCACACCGAAGCTCAACACATGCAGCCGCGTGCGGATGCGTCGCATCAGAATTGCAGCAACCGCTGGGTCACTGCGCACTTGAACAATTGATGCCGACGCAGTGAGCACGCCCGCGGCTGCATTTTCACCAATAGTGGGCGCGTTAGAAAACAACCAGTGGTAGAGAATGTCGCGAACAGACGCCCCCCCCCCCTGATGTCGTTACAAACTTTATGACAAAGGCGTCCCACAGTAAACACGTTGACGACGAGCCATTTTCTTCATGACTTGCGCATAGGACGGCACATTTTCTTCGTAGAAATTCAGTAATTTTCAAACAAATCAATGATTCTGGTCAAAGAGCATGAAGAAGTGCCTGAGGCGAGGATATGAATCTTGAATCTTTGACACACTTTACCTTTTACTGCCCCAGTCTTCCAATATCAGGCCAGTTCTTGCCAAAATTTTTCTCTTAAAAAAATTAGGAGACCACCAGACAATTCGCTTCTGGATAGTTGAACCTCCCAAACATTCAAAATTTCAACACAATTCCGCATTCGCCTGGCACGAAACTGTCTGGCGCCCGCGCCACAAGCGCTGACGCCAGATAGTTTCGCGCTACATGTAGCGGGTCAATGCATGCATGTCATGCCGCGCCTGTAACACGAATGCTAGCCAGTTCGCGTTGAGCAGGTGTGATACTCATATTCAGGGAGTCGGACTACCTCGGGAGGCAAGTTTTCAGCGAATTTGTAATCTACAGTATTTTTTCGCCGGCGCCTATAGCGCGAGCGCCAGACAGTTTCTTGGCACGCGAATGCGATATTCATGTCGAGGGGGTCAAACTACCCCAGGAGACACGTTTTCAGCTAATATGGTGATTTATGGTATTTTGGCGCCGGCGCCTTGTGGCGCGGGCGCCACGTAGTTCGTGCCAAGCAACTGTGATGTTCAATTCAGAGCGTCAAGCTAGCCCTAGGGAGAGATCCACGACTTGGTTGTTTGCACATCTTTGTTATCAGAACAATATACTGTCAGACAGCATTGTCTGACATCGTCGTCAACGTGTTAATCGCTGAACCGCTTGAATTGCACGATCGGCAGTGTCGCGAACTATGAACACAGCCTCGTTGTAAAGAGTGGCGCAGTTCAGGTCATCCAAGATGCGGCTCGACTGTTCAACCATAAGAATTCGGTAGCTGGTGAATTGAACATAGCACTTTCTGCTGTTGATATCAAATGGTCAGGGTTGTCATACGACCCAGTAATCGTTGGTTTGGACAGGGGCCTGCCTTCTACCTCGTCATCCGGGCAGTTGATTAGGGCGGTCGTCAACGGGCCGCAGCGCGTGCCAGGAACTATTTGCTTTTTCCAGGCTAATTTAGTCATTTTTTCCAACTTTTCACTGTTTTGGCTACTTTTTCCCAGATTAGCAGCTCCTTATCTTCACAAGGTGGAAAATGACTAAATTAGCCTGGAAAAGCAAATAGTTCCTGGCACGCGCTGCGGCCCGTTGACGACCGCCCTAATCAACTGCCCGGATGACGAGGTTATTA